TAAAAACCGGCAAGCATGTGAGTTCGGTGAAGCTTGGCATTCAAAGCCGAACTCGATCAATAGGCACTTGGATATTGAAGTCGATTACGAGGCACTGCGAACAGGCACCTGAAGCCGAAATGACGGTGTTGCGTAGTCAGGCAAGGAAACGTCTGCACAATAATCACTCAGCTCTGAGAACGGCTCAAAATCCGAACAATGCTTGGCGCTCATGCTCTACGCCAATCGAGCTGTGAGCTTGTAACCCGTAGACCTGTTGTCTTCCATGGCTAGGTTTTACGGGAAAAGGGTCATCAACCACTTCCTAACGTCCGAAGATGATGGACTAGGATACTGGCAGGGCGCCCACACACTTGACAAGAGTACGACTTGGGTCCTCAGCCAAAGTCTTCGATTAAATGTACACTCGAAAGGCAGCGGGTCTAGCACATGCTCAGTTCACTGACTCATGCGGATTGGTGTCCTGGACCTTAGTAGGGAGAATGACGTAACCCATCTCACACCCAGCGGTCGCCATGAGGAGGCGTCCAGGACATGAGGCAATGGCACAACAGTAGCAGCAGTGGATGGACGAACTGTCAGGATCTAGCCACCACTAGCCTCAAACCATCATACGCTCTCCTGCGATATATATATATATATATATATATATATATATATTTATATGGTTGACGGCATCCGGTTTCGGATTTGCATGGCACTGTGACGTCCATGGGGACAGTCACAGGACGCCTGCGCCTACAGAGGGAGCATGGGTGGCTTGCGCTGCACCACCCACAGCTCCAACCACACACCCCATATGCAGTGAAAACCCTTATGAATAAGACCGGGAGGCATGTGGATGGGAGCCACGTTTCATCAACGGAGCCGGCCCACACTCCTTCACAGGCAAACACAAGCACACTGTATTTGGGGGATCCAGTTCACACAAGGCGGTGGCTGGACCGTAGTCCGCTCCACACTGAGTGCATGGAATCAGTCTTTGATCCTAACACGGCCACAAGGACCGTGCACCCTGTCCCTTCCAGCAACGACCAACTGTCTTCTGGAGCCAGTATGGACGAGGTAGTGGGTAGTAGACAGGTTGGCACCTTGTCAACATGCACATCAAGCGCAGCCACGCTGGGGAAATCACGCGACAGCCAATCACTTGAGAGAAAACTAACAAAGAGAATAAATCGTATAATGCATAAGGGGACGGTGACATAAATCTTAAATTAATGAGCATATGAAACACGTTGTTTACAAACGAATCCGAGATAAGTTTAGGAGGCCAGAAAGTATATTTTACGGAAATGCCACAAATACGAAAATGTTATCGAAATTAACTACAATTGACGTAAGCGACGTGTGCAAGTTTATACAAGAGAGTATAGGTAGGCATTTATATGAGAAAGAAAAGCATTGGGACAAAATTTCAAACCCAGCACCTGAAATAAACGGACTTACCATGTAAGCACGCGGTTAGTAAATCGAATGCAGCATGCCTACAAACGCTGCACCGGCTCTGTCTACGTTCTCTGCAGGACCCGTCATCGCTTCGGTAGTGGTCCCGAGTGGCCTCGCTCATGGCTCACTAGGCCTATATATATAAATATATATATATATATATATATGTATCTGTATATATATATATCATGGTCATAAAAAGCTGCAGTTCGGTACTATATGGTCATACATGTTTCGCATTTGAGATGTGATTTAATACCCGTTATGTTTCACGTGCATGTAATGGGAGGGAGAAACGTGAAGAGAGATAATGAATACATCCAGCTCATATGAAAATTTCGTTGTTCGTTCACAATATGCATCACATGCGTGACAAGTCATTGACGCGTACAATTCCGGATCGGTAAGCTCCAACAAGGAGTGAAATGGTGAACTCGGGTCAAGTTAGGTGATTTTCATCAATTAAGTTATTGCAGGAGGCAGCTGTTCAAGTGAAGAAGATGCCTGAAGTGAGTGGACGAAGATGTTCAATACATATGCATTTTCTGCTCATAAGTCAGTACAATTCAACGCCTGACGGCAGGGTGAGCTTCTCGATATCACCAGCTCAGGTATACTGTTTACTGCTATGCCATGCGGGCCGGCACCGATGCAGTTGTGAGAGCCGTTAAACATTTCGCTAAACATGTGACTTAGAGGAGGAGCGCAAATAAAATTTCAGTGAGAATACTTACGCTGGCCAAGTAAGAATGCTCACTGTCTTCGGAACCCCTACAGTGCTCACAATGCATTGCGCATCCATGGTGTCACACGATGGAAACTTCCAATGAGCCCGGCTGAAATATTGCATGATAACAGTCTACGCTTCGATCCTCCTCCTCCCATCATCTACTTTTTGTCCGTTACTCGATAAGAGGGGCTCACTCGTGAAACAAAAGAAACCTGGGAACATGTGCCTGACTAACGCGACAGAAATGAAATCATGAATGATGATGTTTCGCCTTTAAGTGCACCTTTGATTGGTACCCGACCGCACTGCATCCACCTGTCGTAATGACATGATGTACCGGACATATCCACTTAGCAATGAAAAGGCGAGGCAGTCGTCGCATGAGTTGATACGAAAAACTTTGTTCTGTATTTTGGCAAGTGCACGTCACTATATATGGTTGGCGGCATCCGGTTTCGGATTTGCCTGTCACTGTGGCAAGCCACAGGACGCCTGCGCCTACAGAGGGACCATGGATGGCTTGCGCTGCACCACCCACAGCTCCAACCACATACCCCATATCCAGTGTAAACCCGAAGGAATAAGACCGGGAGGCATGCGGATGGGAACCACGTTTCATCAACGGAGCCGGCCCACACTCCTTCACAGGCAAACACAAGCACGCTGTATTTGGGGAATCAACGGCACACAAGGCGGTGGCTGGACCGTAGTCCGCTCCACACTGAGTGCATGGAACCGCTCTTTGAGCCTAACACGGCCACAAGAACCGTGCACCCCGTCCCCTCCAGCAACGACCAACTGTCTCCTGGAGCCAGTAGGAACGATGTAGTGGGTAATAGACAGGTAGGCACCTTGTCAACATACACATCAAGCGCAACCATACCAAGGTTATCAAACTACAGCCATTCAATTTAAACGACAAGCTGAAATAAAATAAATCCAATAATGCATACAGATACGGTGGCATAACTCTTCGCTAAATTACCATATGAAGTAAGTTGGTCAGCAACAAATCCGTGATAAGTAAGAAATGTCCACAAGTTACTTGAAATGCTACAAACGCAACAAAATTACCGAAGATAAGCGCAATTAGTGTAAGCAACGTGGCCAGTTAATAGAACATTATTCAGGGAGGCAGAACAAAGCAAATAAAGCGGAATGCAATTTATCCAGCTTAAAAAGACCTAGTTTAAGTGTAAGTTGGTTTAGCCCAACTGCGGTGAAGAAGCATCAAGAATGCAACATCAGCCTCAGCATGGGGCACACCCTGCATATATATAGATATATATATATATATATAGTACGTGTGCCCCATGCTGAGGCTGATGTTGCATTCTTGATGCTTCTTCACCGCAGTTGGGCTAAACCAACTTACACTTAAACTAGGTCTTTTTAAGCTGGATAAATTGCATTCCGCTTTATTTGCTTTGTTCTGCCTCCCTGAATAATGTTCTATTAACTGGCCACGTTGCTTACACTAATTGCGCTTATCTTCGATAATTTTGTTGCGTTTGTAGCATTTCAAGTAACTTGTGGACATTTCTTACTTATCACGGATTTGTTGCTGACCAACTTACTTCATATGGTAATTTAGCGAAGAGTTATGCCACCGTATCTGTATGCATTATTGGATTTATTTTATTTCAGCTTGTCGTTTAAATTGAATGGCTGTAGTTTGATAACCTTGGTATGGTTGCGCTTGATGTGTATGTTGACAAGGTGCCTACCTGTCTATTACCCACTACATCGTTCCTACTGGCTCCAGGAGACAGTTGGTCGTTGCTGGAGGGGACGGGGTGCACGGTTCTTGTGGCCGTGTTAGGCTCAAAGAGCGGTTCCATGCACTCAGTGTGGAGCGGACTACGGTCCAGCCACCGCCTTGTGTGCGTTGATTCCCCAAATACAGCGTGCTTGTGTTTGCCTGTGAAGGAGTGTGGGCCGGCTCCGTTGATGAAACGTGGTTCCCATCCGCATGCCTCCCGGTCTTATTCCTTCGGGTTTACACTGGATATGGGGTATGTGGTTGGAGCTGTGGGTGGTGCAGCGCAAGCCATCCATGGTCCCTCTGTAGGCGCAGGCGTCCTGTGGCTTGCCACAGTGACAGGCAAATCCGAAACCGGATGCCGCCAACCATATATGCAGGGTTAAGACGGTAAATTTTCTAGACCCTTCCTAAATGCATACATGTCATTTTCTCATCTGTTCCCGGCTTGCTACCATCGCAGTTCCAAGAACACATATGCATGTCCCTGTACTCGCATGGTTGAGCCACTTTGTTTGGGGGCGTACCGTAAAACCTGACAGTTCCTTGAGGTATAGACAACAAGAACTTGTGCCTATACACACTGTTTATCAGTTAGCCTGCGGCCGGTGATTGATGAGTCTGGCCTCATGAGTTACGTATTTAGAGTGGCTGACGTAGCCATCTTCGACATGTGTTTACTAATCCCCGCCGATTTGTACTGCGCAAGCATCATCTGCATAGGCTGTTTCGTCATACCCACACATTCATCCTTGCAACTGCGTGTACATCAGTGAACGGTGTGTGAACGACTGGGCAGCGACTGTGAGGTTTTTACTGATGGAGTAGAAATGTGAGTCGTTTTGTAGATTAGTACCATTTCCTTTCGGAGGGGCTATGCACATTCCACTGCAGATTTCCAGCGGCACTGGAATACTTGCATAAGCCGGCTCCCTTTAACTTGAAATTAGGAACAAAGTTTGCATCTGCTCGTATTCTGCTTTGTACTAAATTTGGTAATGAAGTGCCACCCGTGGCTCGATGACGCAACTTCCTTCTACCGTCCTCCCTCTTGAAAAGTTACAAAACTACTTCGATCAAGCGATGCGCGCAGGTTGCTTTTCCGACGCATCCGTGTTTGCTGAGAAGTTGAACAACCCACGACTCTGGAACCAGTTGGGCATGGCCTGCCTCCGGGTGATGCAATTTGACACTGGTAAGTTGTGTCCTATCTGAACTAGACGGGGGCCGATTTACAAACTGATGTGGGTGACGTTACACTTTTCGCTAGCCGGAATTCCTGCGGCCTACTAAACTTCCGGTCGTAGATATCCTTCATCGATTGTCATACATGACTCAGCGGCTAATTTTGCTACGTGCTATACACCCATATAACTCTTATTATTATTGCACTTACTTGGCGATTACTGGGAGGCGTTTTATAAAAGGTTTCCACTTTATAGTATCTTCGTTCTGGAGGCCAAATACCAAAGTAGTGCGATGTTCCGTCTAGTTCTTTCTGCCGTTTGGCCCACTGACATCATGAATTAGAAAGATCTCCCTTTCTTCCAAGCCTACTTAACAGTTCACCAGCAAAATTCGAATTACCACCTTCAGCCAACTTCCAGGTGATCAAAATCTTTTAAAGGATTCGCTAAACCGGATCCACTCCCTTTATTCTTAATTTGAGCACGCTTTCGTCACTAAGAAGTAACCGTAATTGCCTAGTTTTTAATATGTGCCTCAACATCACTTCAGTCCTGTGAACTTTTAACTGCTACTGTGTTGCGCTGAATTTACAGGAAGTTACAGGTTCCTTTGCTGTTGCTGTTGCCTGCGTACAAAAATGCAGCATTGCAATGAAGCTGTACACATGTAGAGTATTAGTGACTAGAGACTAAGTTGTACCTGTACTCGATTACGCCTAGTACATGTTTGGCGGTACTTATGGTGTCGGGGGTAAGCCGCTCACATGTAAGCCATTGGAGACTGTTTGTTGCGTATTGTTCCACTACACGCCTGAGCTAGTAATTGAAAAACTATCGTTAACAGAATGCCCCGTTTCGCTGCATGCTTACGTGTTTCACAGTTCTACGGTAACAAAAAGGGAGATCATTTGGCTGTCACTTTCCCTCATTTCAACGGTAAACAACAAGGCTAGGGCTTTTCTTGCAATTCGTGAGAGTGCTACAATATATTCCTTTAAAACGATTGTATGCAGGTCTCTGTCTTCTGTCACTTGTTTCACCAGCTTATCTACTTTCTTCAAGGAGTATGTTACATGTCGAAATTCATGCTGACACGCGCCACTGGCAAATGTACTTCTGATGGTTGCACTGTACATAGGAGATCAAATTCAGTAGGTTCCTCTTCTCAAGACCCAGCCACCACTGGACTCATATGAGGCGCTGTGCCCCAACCTCTAGGTGTAAAGAACGCTAAATGGAACAATGAACAAATGACAGAATACGGATAAAAAGCCAAGTATAGACAGATCTCGTAGGATGGTTTGTGTGAATTACGCAACTTCACGAAAAATTGTTACTTTGAAGTGCAACGCGCCTTTTGTGGACTCGCCGTATGTTCCACACTAACACAAAAGTATATCAGTATACCCAGATTTCGTGGGAGTTAGTGGGCCCAATGTCTTGGCTGCGTCTTGTTGTCACTCAACGAACAGAAATCAAATCAAGTAATGCAGGTGGTCTAATGCGTTATCGAGTAGTCGCTTGGGCGCCAAAATGACAAAGACCGAAAGAACGTTCCACGGCTGACATATTCGAAGGGAAAACCAATTCCGGGGCATTCCAACCGCCTGTATTGGGTAAGCAGTTTCAGCTTATAACCCCTCAACTTTGTGAGACGACTGTTTCATGGGGTAGCGGTAAGCGTAACCGGAGTTTGTCACCAGACCACGATCACCCTATAAACGCGGATAGCTTCTGCTGTACAATTCCAAAGCTTTCAGTCGCAGATGATAGTGCAGACGGAATAATCCTTTTACATTTTGGTTACCTGCTTGCCGATGCGGATTTACTCAGAGCACTGAACTTATCAGCAAACCCCGTCCATGCAGTATCAATGAAACGGTCGTCCGAAAACTCATAAATGACATCGCCAACAAGTCGTAGTGCATGATTGTTCGAGACAAGTCACAATTTTCTTGTAGGGTAGTCCGCATGCCACACAGTCACCAACTATTGTTACGTCATCACTCAGCTCCACAGGTTCTCTATCTTTGTTTTCTTGATCATGAGCTCTTCCTTCCTAATTACTAGTTCAAGCACGGTTTGTTTAATTCCTACTCCGAATCGTGTGGGCGAACTCACATTACTGATGAGCGCTACGTTTGCCATAAGCTCTTGCAGTTCAGCCTTAAATTGCTGTTTGTGGGATGTCGGGACTTCCAGAGCATGAACACCGAAATCACCTGAGATGAAAACATGATTGTATCATCGTCGTAGGAACCTCCTCGAAACAGGCGGGAGTCCATCTCTGGGGTGGACATTGGGGGACGACAAGCAACAGCCATTAGACAAATGTCTTTGCGTCTTAGTCGCAAACTGTACCAGAAACAGTATGATGGGTGTTTCCGGATCGTTCACCGGTTCGCACTGCAGGTCGCGACGGTAGTATAAAATCACCTCCACCCGCCTTTGCTAGTGCGATGATTTCGGAGCAACCAAGTCTCAGTTACGAAAATAAACTCCCAGGCAAACGATGCTTGACGAGCCGCAGTTCGGCAAGCTTGTTCAGGAGACCTTGTACATATGTGTACATGCAGGTAAGTTTCACAGTTGTGTGTTTAGGGAATAACGTTGTGTCGACCGATAAAACCTAGGCCACTTATAGTTTTTCTTGATGCAGTGACGAACTCATTTGTACCAGATCCAGAGATCCCGCAATTACCTATTTGCTCCTCTTTTTGTATATAATGCATGGGGTGTGTTCGCCTGTTTCGTCGCCTATCTGAGGAATGTTACGAGAATTGTCGATTGTAAGTGGTCCGACCAAATGACTGCTGTCGTGTGTTAGCTTAGAGGATGTCGTTTTGATCCGGAGTTCGGAACGAAAGCAGCTGTGATACGGATACCAGTACTCCAAGACGTTTGTTGACATTTGCGTGAATTGAAGCATGACTTTCACAATCTTCGGGCCACACCCTTCGTATTTTGGCGATCTGCGCAGTCTTGCGATCGCTTGCTCTATGCCGCTTTCCAGGGGCAGGATCGCTCGAATGTATTGCCACTGTTCCTGCTCGTGAGGGTTCCATGCACACTCATCATAACCTCCAGCCTCGGGAACGCCGTGTATAAGCGTAGTCTTGGCCACGGATTACTTCCGGTATTCTTCAAAATTCTTCTTTGCCTACTTTTGCTCGTTCCATGCAGACATGATGCATTCCGGTGGCGGGTTGTCGATAACCGGACAGCTTCTGCTTCATCAGCGGAAATCAAAACTCTTAAATAGCCCTAGTGCTCCGAGCTTGGGTGACGGATGATCATTGTCAAATTGGCAGGAATAATTACAACACTTATGATGTCATATATAAAATTCTAATGATTCTATTCATCTAGTTGTTTACCGTATAAGGAATTTGACGTCGGTTCTAGAATGTTGGCTCAGGTTACCGATGGTGTGTTCGGTGCTGACCGAGTTGAGCTCAACCTTACAGTTGGTATACATACAGCTGATGAAGGTTGTGAAAGTGCAGTTTCGTCTTCTTCACTTACTTTGGGCCCAATGGGAGTAGCTGAAGGGTTAAGTTTCTGGTGGCCTTTGGCAGCAATCAGATCCAAACTACCACTGGAGCCGAAGTCCTTCTGAACTTTGGTAACAGTGTGGAGGGTGGACGAGTCGCTGGTCTTACTTATTCTATTCTGACTGGAGGTAGTTATTTCAAGCGCATTTATGTAGAGGCTGGCACTAACGTTTAAAGCCACAGGTGACGCGTTTTTAAGACGCTGTCCAGCCTTCTTCCTCAGCTTATAAGCAGGACCCAGTAAGAGTAAATTAGGTATGCTATCTGTCACGCTTTCTTCAAATGAATCGATTTCGGTGTTCCTCATTCATTAAATCATTGCCGCCAGTCTTTCTTGTTTTTACAATTGTTCGTGTACAGTGTTTACCAGCGTGATTACCATCCACACTGTAAAGCACCACATAGCATGTGGTCCGCTATTGTGTATTTTTAATTGGCTTACTAAGAGCCTAGAATACTTATAATGAAACGTGCTGAGGCAATTGGTACCCTGCTTTCTTTTCTTCCATTTTACTAACATGAAAGGAAGCCATCTACTACCATCACTCTGGGTGTGGTAAAAGAGGCCTTTGTTGGCTGGTCATTAAAACCCATTGCGCCGATCGAGGCCTTTCCGTTTAATGTCCGAGCGCTCATTGTTACTCGTGGGTTGGCTGCACGCTATCAACTGCATTTCCTAGGTCCACACCTTTGGTGCTTCTCTGCCTGGTGGAGCAGTTTTAAGCGGTTAGCTCGTTCACTCGGTAAACCACGCAACTGGGCTATACGGAAAAGTTTGTGCAGTAGCTACTTTACTTAGCGGTCTACAGTATTTGCTGATACCTCGCCGCACAGATTGGAGAGTTGACTTACATTTGAGACCACAATTTTTGCTGCGTGGTTCGTGCTTCGGAAGATTCCTCGATTGTGTTTCTGCGGGAACGGTGCAGAAAACTGCGATGTGAAGGTCAAAGGTGATCCACACTTGTTAGAACCGAAAGATAGCATAGACAAGATAGCGCTAGTGCAACGGGATCGAAAGAGTGTTAACACACGCTGGTGTGATAAGAAGTGTGTTAGTAAACCCGGTTTGAGTACAAGGCTGGAGAGCTCACATCTGCACGGCCTGACACACTGAGATGTGAGAGCCAGTTGCTCACCTACAGAGCAGGGATTTTAGAGGTAGTGAGTTAGTGCGCAAGTTCTTGGTCGTGCAGATTCACGACGCTTTCTATACCGGTATAAAGGTCTGCTCACGGGCAATTAGTGACAGATTTTCTCCGGTCATTAAATTGATTGCGGATTCTGGTTGTACAACCACTCGTGATCCATATCTACGTACCAGTTGACTTCAGTTTTTCAGGACTACACTGATTGAAGTTGTATCTATGGCCAGTTTTGAACCAGTGATAGTTGACTGTTCTCAGAGCTCTGGTCATCCTCAGATGCATCAACTCAAGGTGTAGGAACTGATGCAGTCGTCTAATCGAAGGTGTTCCAAAGCCCAAGTTAAGTCTCTGCAGACCATTTTGGGAGTATGATATCAGCCATTAAAGTACTCCCAGGTTCGTTTATTTCTACCTAGAGCTTGAACAGGGATGTATCGTTGGCCGCCAGCGGAACCGAGAGTATCCCTAATATCAGACCAAATACCACAACTATCGGAATGGTCCATTTGGTGACGCTGTACTCTCCACGCTTAGGCCAAGGAAGACGACTGTATGCAAGAAAACGTATTATAAGCCACCTTGGTCTTTGCATCGTCACTGGTGAGTCCGGTGGTTGGATAGCCAAGTTTCTAGGCTATCACCCTACCTTAGAGCTCTACCGCTATAGATCCCCAGCCAGCAAAATGAGAATATGTCCAACTTAGTGAGGATATGACCGATAGTGGTGGAGTACATCCCCAGACGTAGTTCTCTTGACTGCCTGCCCGACAAGCATCTACTTTATATCTACTCGATAAGACAACTGATACCCTTCAAACACTGCTACACCTTACAATCAGAGTGCATTTTGTTTAAGTCTGGCAAAGGTCGGTGTGGTGATATCATATTACCTTGCCGTTTAAGGTATCACGAAAGCGGAACTTGACAAACAATCATAAATACCATTGCAGATGACGTGGGACAACGCTCATTCACATGAGAAACAGAATAGAAATCCATTAGTTCAGTCTGGTATGTTTCCATATCCCTAATAATAATAGGTGGTGCCGAACTACGTGCAAGACTAAGTGAAAGCTTCAACTCTGACACAGCGATTGGGTTAACGCTGTGTGATATCAGAACAGAACCACTGGCACGTGCCACCGTCTTTGAAGCCCAGCTGCACCAGGTTATCTCTCAGACTGTAGGCCTCTCTTCTTCTGAACAAGCCGCTGCTTTACCAGGTTGTACTTTTTCTACTGCAAGCACATCAGGAACAACAACTGCTGCTGATACTGCTAATCAGTTGGCGGTGTAAGTTCCGCAAGCTTTGGAACGGTGTCTGCTGCTTGCGCCGTAGGTGTGTATTCGGTTCACATCGTCCTCGAATGCAACTGACATTTTGGCACGCTTAACTGCGGTTCACAGCACGTCCTAACAACTTCACGGACCGAATGGACAACAGTGCGGTAACATAAGCATTTCAAAACAATATCTATGGACTGATGCGGTGGAATATTCCTTTTAGAACATGTCTTGTAGGCCGTCCCTATTTGGATTTCGGGTGCACCATACAACGCTGCTGACGCTTGGCTGTACCCACGGATGCCGCAGATATTTGCTTTGCCGTGTTGGACTCTCCTTTTGTTTTGGGAATACTAGGTTATATGTGCTTTCTCTGTGTTAATTGTGAATTAATACTTTGCTTTTGGTGTATTTTTTCATCTGTGCAAATTTGGTGGATGTTCTCCGGCTACTGTCGGAGACTTCACTGATTGGCCCAGCCGCCGTATGTGTCCGCCATCTTGGATTTGTTCTACAGCAATCTAGCCAGTGTCTGCCAGAACACCAGCTTGACTGACAGCTTTCTGATTCAGCTTACCAATGTAGCCGTTGCAATGAACGAGACTGAACCTTAACACGGTGCGATGGTTTGTGTGCCTCAGTGATCCATTGAGTTATGCTGGATAGTGTTTTTTGCACCTTCAGCGCCATGCAAACCAGATTGGTCAATGGTTAGAGGCCAGACAAACTCAGTCTCCTGGCCCTCCAGGTTGGGGGTTAGAGTGAGGGTGGCTCCTTACTCTGTAAATCGGGCTTTCTGTAGTCCAGTGCCAAAATCCCGCTGCCTTGCGCTAAGGATTTTGAACCAAAAGTTTGGGTTGAGAACCCAAATCGTTCTCCTGTCTACGCCTGAGCAACCTGACAGTATCCTGCCCACACAATACTATGAATCTCTCTTCAAGCAAATTTCTGATGCGCTGACCACTGCAGAGGATAATCAAGAACACTCCCACCGTAACCTTGATATTCGGCTGTCTCGTCTGTTCCATGTGACTTAAGATCTGGTCTATATACTGTTCGGTGCGGTGAAGTTCTTTGCTCTGACGGCCCTAAGCGACATTAACCGCAACTATAACACTTAGGTGAGTGACTATGCAGGATCGAGTTTGCGTGCCGTTCCTGACCGTATGTTCGGTTTAATGACGGTGCCTTAGAAATCCGTGGACTAGGAGAAGATTGCGTCACTCCGAAACAATGCATTTGCATCTGATGGACTGATGGCCTTTAACAGCAAAGGACAAGTATACTCCGTAGATGTCCTGTGAAGTCCTCTCAAAGTTCAGTTAACCTGTGTAAATTTTGTCCCCGACTGTTGGCCACTGTACACTGTGCACGAGTGCCGCGTGCCGATCGACCCTTTGTGCGCGGGCAGAACAGATTAAAGTTTGTCTCATCCATCCATACTGCTTGCCGTCCTTCAACCTCGAACCTCATCAGTGTCAGGAAATAAACCTTCCTTAGCCTCTTGTTCTCTATGGTATTCATAGATTCCGGTATTGAATGTAACCTATTTATTCTCATGAGCCGACCATCTGGGTAGCGAGCAATGGTGCTGACGCTTACCTCTACCTCGAACTCACCGTAACCCTAACCGAAGAGTTTCTAACGTTACCTTTGGCTCCGATTCAACCCATTTAACCAGGTAATCAACCTGACTCTCTGACAGCGACCTTCGACGCGGCCCGGTAGCAGTACTTTTCGGCCCATTCAGTTCCAATTTTCTAATCCAGCTGAGACAGGTGTTCACGTTTACCTGTAACACAAATGCAACATTCTCCCAGTCGTCGCCTTCCTCATAGGTCTTCACTATAATGGCCTTCAAGTCAGCCGGATGATGGACGTGAGTTCCTCTTTGTTCCATCGTGATTAGTCTAAACTAAAGGTAACAAACCATGGAAAGCTAATGAAAGACAAACCTTGCGTCATTAAACGAATCGTTCGAAAACGCTTGCTGTCGCAACGTAGACCTATCTTTAAGCAATGCCTGGGAAAGCCAGAAGCAATAAGTTGGCTGGCCAGATGGCGAATATGCTATCATCAGTCATGTCCATGTTTATATGTCTAACATAGACCATCGCGATGGCACTGTGGATGTAGACTTCCACTCCCGTACTCTAAGTTGCTTTGCTATCTGCTGATTCGGTGTGCTGGTCAGCACATAACATTAGCAGCGCGTACGAGAGCAGTGGCAACATTTTCAGGCCAGACGTGTCCGCCCCCTTTTGTAGTTCGACCCTTCTCAGCCCCATTAGGTGGTTCCTTGCTTTGGTGCAAGGGCTTCTTAGGCGAGCGATCAAGTCACCGCTGACCAGTGTGCATTTCGCCTCCCCTGCCACATCTGTTAGGGGGTGGTTGTACAAGTGTGAAGCCCCATACAGCATGAGTCACTTGTTTTGGAGACACAAGTATCTGTGTCCCACGGCCGTCCCCAACTGACAACTTTCTCAGACCTAACATGACGGGCCCCCTGTCCGACGCGTCCCGCGACTCTTTCATAGTTCGACGCCCGAATGGTTTTAACATGGTGGTCCACGCAGTACAAGCGCGTCGGAGGGTGTGCAGAGTAAGGCAATTTTCGCCGTCCCATATTCAGGGACTTAGCCGACTTGATAACTCGTCGTATGTCGAAAGGCTACATATACCCAAACGCGACGCACAGATTTGAGCTGTGCGACGGTCTAAAATGTCCGGCTTGCCAGACATCAAAAACGATTCATGTTCCAGTGAATTACTTGGTATGCTGAGTTTCAGCAGGCCATTTTCATTTCATTGTTTATAATGAAAACCGGAAATCGAATTGTGTACGAAGAACTTTTTCGTCCCACGTTGCAGAGCTGAGTGGCTGCTGCGCTGCACGAAAGTGAGCGGTCTGGTCGATGGAGCTGCATTAACAATTAGGAGTCGCCTGCGCGTGAAGCATATTAGAATAACCACGCAAGATGTACCCGCAGGTAATCAGCTCCCAGGCAGACATACCTTAAACCCTGTGTAGGGCACCCACCAAATTCTTGAACAATAACACAGGTTAACTGAACTTTGAGAGACTTCACAGGACGTCTAGGGAGTATACTTGTCCTTTACTGTTAAAGGCCAGCAGTCCATCAGATGCAAATGCATTGTTTCGAAGCGACGCAATATTCCCCTAATCCACGGATTTCTAAGGCACCGTCATTAAACCGAACATACAGCCAGGAACGGCAAGCAAACTCGATCCTGCATAGTCGCTCATCTAAGTGTTATAATTGCGGTTAATGGCGCTTAAGGCCGTCAGAAAAAAGACCTTCACCGCACCGAACAGTATATAGACCAGATCTTAAGTCACATGGAACAGACGAGACAGCCGACTACAAAGGTTACGGTGTGAGTGTTTCGGACTGGAGGCGGCCTGGTGGATATGAACCACAGTGGACCATCGGGTAAGATTGAAGTTCACGGTCAGGTGTGTGGAACGACATTGTGCATTTAAGGCACCAAATTGCTTATTGTAACGTCTCCCTCTTCGAAAGCAAGTTCTCCAGACTCATACGAATGAAGCCCTGGGTTCACCTGTATACGTTGCATATGTTTAGCTGGCCGTATATTTCTCCCACTTACTCCGTCGCATGGCTCTGTGCACGTCTCTGTCGGTTCAATACGCCCCACACTTTTTGGTAGTTCAAATGTGTCCAGCAATATATCAAACGGCAACTCGAAAGAAGAAGTGATTGTTTGTTCGATCCGTCGTTTGCGTCACTGAGAAACATGCCGTATAACAGAAAACGTCCCTACAGACACCACGTACAACACAGAGAATTTTCTTTATCGTACCACTGCAGGTTGCGAGGTTTGGTGGTTCGGCCATGCATCCAACGCGTACACCGGCTCCGTTAGTAGAAAACATCTGTTCACGCCTGACACTAGTAGCCGTTGCGTAACCTTAGGGAGTATTGCATCAATTGGAGGACGTGTCTCACGCCCAAACATGGCTTCCGCTGGGGATCTGCCGCCTCGTAGATCGGGGTTTTGCGTAGCCCAGATTACTCAACAGGAAGAGCTGTATGATCTCTGTGGGTCCTTCCCCCGCAGCTTTAGTAAACGTTTGATGGTATCCACAAATCTTTCTGCTAACCTGTTGGACTGAGGATGCTTCGGAGGCGACCGGCAGTGCTTGATACAAGTACGCTGGCAAAAAAGCACCGATGTCGTCGCAGATATATTGCGAACCTTTATCGGAAACTAATGTGTTTAGTGAACCGAACTGTGGAAATAACTGTTGTAGTTTTCGTACCGTGGCCGCTATCGTAGTTGTGTTCATCAGGTATACGTCCGGCCATTTGGTATACGCATCAATCACAACTCAAAAAAACTAGCTTTGAATGGGACCAGGGAAATCAAGGTGAATTCTCTCCCATGACTTAGAGGCTGGCATCCAGGGTTGGATGAATTTGCTTGGAAGTTTCGCAGCCGAAGAACATTTGCTACATGTGGCGACACAATCACGGATAGCGTTGTCACTAAAAGATGGCCAATATACGTAACTTCTGGCTGAAGTTTTCATCCGGGATATGCCGGGACAATGTAGGTGCAAATACCTTAATAACCTTGCCATTGAGGAAGTCCTAAGGAATGCTCTACATAATTCGTTAAACGCGCTGACGATGAGCTCCTCCCAGGTAGCCGAGCTGTTGACTTGGACTACGCTGATGATATCGTCTTGCTGGATGACCGTTCACAGGCCGTCCAACTTGCACCCAATCACTTGGCGATTAAAGCTACATACTATGGGATGACTTTTCCCCATCCAAGTGCAAACCTCTTTTCCAAGACTTTCAGATGCCTCTACCTGCACTCACTCTTGATGGTGAGGCACTGGAGGTTACGGACAGTTTTGCCTACCTGGGTAGTTGCATCACAGCCAATGGAGCTATTGGAGACCAAATTTCTTTGCGTATCTCAAGCGCTCGCCTCGCTTTCTCTAAGCTGAAGCACTTGTGG